CCACTCCTTTCAGGGAGCGGGGAGAGCTCCAGAGCTAAGTGTCCCTTTCCTGGGTGGAGACCACAGCCTCCCCCCGCTGTGGACAGTGTCCACCCCCCTCTGGGTCAGGTCCCACCAGTCCCGCACCCTCCCCTTGGGCCGTGGTCAGTTCAGAACAAAGGCCAGATGGCCGGGGAAATGGAGGTGGCAGCGCTTGAGGCCGGTTAGTGCCTGTCCCAGGCCCTGGGGACTGTGTCTGTGTCACGAGAGGTTTAAGAAAAATGGATCGGAGACAGCTTCTTCTCTGCTAATTTCAAACGTGCCCCGCCTGGGCCACGCTACGGAGAATCATTACATGTAACGGTCAGACCGAGGAACAAGGACCAGCCGAGCCCTGCGACCCCGATTCCGAGCACGGCCGCGAACTCACCGGCCGCTGGGGTCTGGCCGGGTGCTGTGACCAGCTGCACACGCATGAGCCCTTCTGAACCCCCGTATCTTCTGGAGGCGTCAGGAGGGACCATCTGCCAACAACCAGAGAGTCCAGCTGGCCAGAGCCGAAGAGCGACAACCACGTTTGTGGCTGGAACCGAGGAAATCAGAACCTCCTGGTAAAACCACTGCTCCAGGAGTTAAAAACACGTCGTCTGCCAAAATTATAATGGAAAACTGAAGAAAACAACAGATAATTTGGTGGAAATGAAAAAAAATAATACAAAGGAATCAGCTTGATGGATGGAAACAGGGACCGTTGCCCACTGGGGGGTCTGCCTGTGGGGGCTGCAGGGACCCAGCGACCGCAGTGGGAGGCGCTTTTCTGGTGTTGTCTTCGCTCAGCTCCAATCACAATGTATCTTTTCTCGATTTTCTGGTGTTATCTTTGCTCAGCTCCAGTCACAATGTATCAGCATGAGAGGTGCCCTGGCTTAATCACAGCAGCCCCTCGCCTCACAGCCAAGCTGCACGTGGTCTGTCAAGCTCAGGATCACGGGTGGTTTCACCCAACCTCCTGCCCCTCAGCCCAGGGAGCAAGCCCTCCACCCCTGAGCATAGATGTGCCCCCGTCAGTCTAATGTGGGCCCCGAAGATATTACGAGGTGGCCTTGGGTCCAGCAAACCACAGAAGGAAGAGGTGTTGTGGGAACCTCTCAGGAACAGCAAATGCCAGCGTGGAGGTAACCCGATTCCCCGCATCTACCCGCGCTAGAGGCCCCTCCACGGGGACGGGGTGGCCGTCTTTCATCGCCCTCTGAAACGAGGGTGGCCTTGAGCTTTCTACCTCCCGCTGTCCCCCAGCGTGTCCCAGCGCCGTTCCTGGAACCAGGCTTGTGGCATCGTGAGTCACAGCCCTCCTGCGCCCGTCAGCAGCTCTGCACACTCAGGACCCCCAACCGCGCGTGGTCGGGTTTCAGGCCCCTGGCTGAGCCCGTTCTGGCCAACAGCTGGCTGTGCGCACCAAGCCTGGGCTGGCAGCCTCTGCCTTCCCGCTGCCCCGGCCCTGCGAGCTGGCAGAGCTACTGCCGACGTGCCTCACCCCGCGCTCGTGTTGACGATGGACGGACAGATAGCTGGACGAGCCCCAGCACGGGATTCCCCCCGACAGTTCCTCCCCCTCAGGTTTGGCTGAGATTCCATCTGCTGGATCCCAGGAGGGAGACAAAGTTAACTTTTTTTAGTAAATCTTCTCCTGGAACGTTAAAGATGTTACACGATCTGTTCCCACATATAAGCTATGATTCCAAACGTTAAAAAAAACCCAGATTGATAAGAAGACTGGGCCCGGTACCTCCGACTTCAAGGAGGAGCTTCAGCTGGAAGGCCCCGGGGCTCTGGGAAAATTGTTAACGGCCAACCTGGGGATGCAGCGAACACACCAGACCAGCCGCCGATCTCCGCGTGAGCGGCTTCAGCTCGGCAGCTAATCACGGTCTCAGGCACCGGCTCGAACGTCCCTGGGACTAAAGCAGACGATCTGTCTTCTGGGCCCAGAAAACTGAAAGATGAAGCACAGCTGAGAACAGGGACCATCAGAATTGAATCACAACCACAGGTCACGGCAAAATACACGCTGACGCTGCACAGGAGGGTGATTAGGTTCGACGCCAGCTAAGCCCAGTGGTCTGAAGGAACCCAGGGTGTCCCTCTGTCTCCATTTTGTTGGCAGCGAGGCCGGTCTGCTTTGCATTCTCAGCCGGTGCTGGGACTTCCTGTCGCCTGGACGGTCCGTGTTTTGGGTAGAGATGCTCCCGGAACGATGCACACGGGGCTGCGCTAACTCCCACGCCCCTCAGAGCGCTTTCGTCTCGCGTGGCCCCGTCCTGTGCTCCGAGGACCCCGACACGCACCCCTGCGAGTGCTGATGAAGGGTCCCGCGTGCTCAGGCCTCTCCATCTCCTGCACCTGCTCTTAGGCCTCCGTATAAAACCCAGTTTCAGTGGGAATCCTGCTGAGTCAGTTTAACCGGAAGCCCTCGCCCTGGATCTGATCCCCCTCGGCCCCCAGGTGAGGTCTGGTCACCTGGCTGCCTTCAGCAAGAACCCTGCTGGGTCGGTGTAGCCAGAACCCCTCCCTCGATGTTTCATACCCCCTCCGGCCCCGCCCTGCTCCCTGGCTGTGAACCCCACTTCCAAGGCTGCTTTTGCAGCTGCGCCCCATCTGTCCCCCAGAGGCCCCCACACCTATGGCTGAGGCCCCCTTGAACACCTGCCTTAGCAAGTGTCTGGACTATATATATATATTTAACAGTATTGCCAGTTGCAGAAACTGTGGCTCTAGGACAAATGCCTTGTCTGAAGTCCCAGAGCTGGTGCCACTGAGATGGGTGACCAGCACGCCCACCTTAGCATTAGCATGGACAAGAGTGGAGTGTGGTCAGCAGAACGGCCCCTGGCCTGTGACTGTGTCACCTTCGTGGCTGCTAGTCAGCTGACTTTAAGACAGAGAGATTGTCTTGGATCTTCTGGGGCAGTGGGTGGGGGGAGCCCAAGGTCATCAATATGATCACAGGGTCCTGAGCTGGGGAAGAGGCAACCAGTTAGTGTCGCAGGGAACGAACAAGAGTCTCCACCACGCTGACGGCTGTGCAGGTGGAGGAGGCGTCCATGAGCCCAGAAGGGCAGGCGCCCCAGCAGCTGTGAAAGGCAAGTGAAGGAAAGTCCCCCGGAGCCTGCGGAAAGGACCGCAGCCTGCCCACACCATGGTGGGAGGCCCAGTAAACCGCCTGACCTCCAGAAAGGAAGGGGAATAGGAGGTGGGAGAGAAGGCAAAGGAATGGAGTTGGACATAGAAAAATAAAGTTAGAGAGCAAAGATGCGAGGAGGGGGAAGGAGGATCAGGTTAGACGGAAGGCAGCACTGAGGAGAGGCTGATCTGATCTTCATTTTCAGTTTGCAAAGAGCTTTATGATCGGAGAACCGGACTCCAAAGGGGTTCTGAGTAGGTGTTAATACCCCACTTGGAGATGAGAGAATTCAGGCTCTAGAGTGTATGCAACTTGGCAAAGAAACTTGGGCCGACATGTAGGCAAAGAAACATGTAACCAAAATGCAACATGCAAGCTGTTCCTGAATAAGGCTTCAGATAGGTAGGTGCTAAATGTTTCTTTTCAAAAACATTAACAGTATTACTGAACAAACATGTAACACAAAAACCAAACACAAGAATTAATCCTGGTCCACTGCCCCACTCCATTTTCACCCTCCGCATGTAATTCTGCATGGCTCTGGTTGCAGGATAAGTGTAATTTTGTATCTTTGCTTCACATTATAAACATTTCCTATACTGTATCAGTCTTCGTAATTATAATTTGTAACAGCTGCTTGGCATCAATGCACACTGACTTACCAAGTAATTCCCATAGCTGTGGGACATTTGACTGTTCCCAGTTTCTTTTCAATATAAATAATGCTGCAATTAGCCTCTCTGGGTCCATGTCATTTGTCTTTTTAAAGGACATTTTCTTAAGATTAATCGCTGGGACTGAGGGTCTGGAAGTTCTGACAATTCCTTGTTTCAAATACTGTTGTGGTTGGAAAAGATACTTGATATGATTTCAATCTTTTTAAGTTTATTAGGACTTACTTTGTGGCCTAACATGTGATCTGTCCTGGAGCATATTCAGTGTTTGATTGAGGAGAATGTATATTCTGCTGCTTTTGGAAGGAATGTTCTGTGTATGTCTGTTTAGTCCATCTGGCAAATGTGTCCTTTAAGGCCAATATTTTTATTGGTTTTCTGTCTGGATGCTCTATCCATGGATGGTTACATTAAATCTATGGACCAAGTTGAGAACTGCTGTCTTATCAATATTGTCTGCTAAAACATGAACTTGGTATATCTCTCCATTTATTTAGATCTTTAATTTCTCTCAGCAATGTTTTATAGGTTTCAGTACACAGGTCTTACACTTTGGTTACATTTATTCCTACTTAGTTTATTTTTAGATGCCATTATAAGTGGAACTGTATCCTTCCATTTTCAAATTGTTTAGTATGTACCAATAGTAATATCAACAGAACCACAAATAACTTAGCTGGTGTACTGATTTTGTATCCTGTAATCCTGTTAAACTTGATTATTTTTGACACAATTCCTTATAATTTTTTACATACCGTATCATGTAACCTGGAAATAGTTTTACTTCTTCATTTCTAATCTGTGTGCCTTTAATTTTGTTTCCTTGCTGTTTTCTCTGGGTAGAATTTTGAATAGAAATGGTAATAGTTGCATGCCTTTGAAAATTTAAAAGAACTCGGACTTCTGAGACCCTGTAGCCCTCGGTGACTTGGGTCAGGGACCGCAGACCTGCAGTCACTAACCTTCAGGATTACGGGAGGGCTGACGAGCCTCTCAGAGGCCAGGCCAGGGCGCCCGGGATGCAGGGAAACACGACTACTCACGGGAGAGTCGCACTGCGGTCAGGTAGCTGTGGGGGTGTGAGCACTGGGAGAGGATTACCTGTGTTGGACATTATTGTAAAATCAAGAGGAAACCCTTCATTATTTCCATGTGCACTTGCTACATCATTTCTGGAAGGTTTATTCTAGGAGTTGATCCACTACATTGTTGAGGGCCTTTAATTCCGAGGTGGGAGTCACAGCCGAGACGAGGGACAGGCCACGGAGAAGGAGCAGCAGGAAGGGCCTCTTCCTGATGCCATCACACTCGGTGGGATGGAGAATTTCTGTCCATAGGCGGTGACTGGTCAGCACGCGCCAGCTTCCTCTTGGGGACAGTGAGTGTCAAGGCGGCCAGTGTGGCTGGATTTCTCACCCACCTGGTGGCACTAGTTCTCAGGGCACACACTCCTTGTTAGTCAATTTGAGAAGAGCCTCTGGGGCATAAAGGCATAACCAGCACTTACTGACTGGCCAGGGTCCGTTGTCTCTAGCACATGACATGTTATAAAGACCTTAGAGCCTAACCAGGAGACTTAGAGGTTAGCTTGTTCTCTGGAACAAAACAATTTAAACAAATTCCTGCTCTTTATTTAGTGATGAGTGATAAAGGTTCTGTGGCCTCTGAATTAGGGTCATTCCTAAGATACACAACCTGTCCACAGGGCGAGTCAGGCTTCTGTGAACCACGTCGGTCTCAGAAAGACCATGGAGGTTACAGAGCGTAGCTGCAGCACCCAGGCCCCATGTGGTGCCACAGAAGGGCATCCTCTGGGCGGTTCCGGCTCCCTGGTTCTGTCTGGCTGAGCCCCAAGGACAGTGTCACGAGCTGCCTGCAGGCGACATCTCGAGTGACATCTCGTCATTGCGGCAGCAGGTAGTTCTCACGGGCGCAGATCCCATGCTGAGTGACCGAATCTGGAGGAAGAGAGAGCAGTTGGGTGTTGACAAGGGCCAGCCGCACAGTAAGGAGCAGCCCTTCTATGTAAACGCAAAACCATACTGTACAATCTCAAAGGGTCTAGAGCTGCGCTTTCCACACGTCCACGGGTCCAAGTAGCCCATAAAAATACAATAGCATGAAATAAAGTAAAATGAAAAATTCAGCTCCTCAGCCACACTTGCCACACCCCGAGCGCTGGCAGCCGCAGGCCCTGTGAGATGTGCTACACGGGGATTCTGGCCACGGCGGGACAGCCCCTCAGCCAGGGAGGACAGGCCCGGGCTCCAGTCTCAGCAGCTGCAGCAGCCTCTCTCTGGCACAGGCCGAGCATGAACAAGCACGCAGGAGTTTCAGGCGCCACACCAACCACGCACTGCAGGCCGTGCGGGTCATCCGCTCAGGCGAGCCCTTCACGTGGGACACGGGTGGGTCGCGCTCTGACCTGCAGGCTTTCTCCTTCAGCCAAGGAAGCTGACACTGCTCCAGTTGAAACTCCTTTCAGGACAAGCTCCAGGTGCAGCTGACAGGCCGGCCAGGCGTCCTGCAGCCGGCTCAAGGCACCCCCTTGCACTTGCCGTGAAGAGTCCACGGCTCCCAACCACTTCCACTCGAATGGAAGAGGAATGCGAGGGACCCTCAGCTCTGCCGGGTTCCAACTCTGTCAGCCTTACTGGTGACCACTGTCACTGGGGGGGTGGGGGTGGGCAATGTAAGATGATGGCCGTGATGATGTGGGGCACCAGGGGGGAAATGGGCTTATTCCCCAGTACAGGGGAAATGGGCTTATTCCCCGAGTACAGGGGAAATGGGCTTATTCCCCGAGTACAGGGGAAAATGGGCTTATTCCCCCAGTACAGGGGAAAATGGGCTTATTCCCCCAGTACAGGGGAAAATGGGCTTATTCCCCCAGTACAGGGGAAAATGGGCTTATTCCCCCAGTACAGGGGAAAATGGGCTTATTCCCCCAGTACAGGGGAAAATGGGCTTATTCCCCCAGTACAGGGGAAAATGGGCTTATTCCCCCAGTACAGGGGAAAATGGGCTTATTCCCCCAGTACAGGGGAAAATGGGCTTATTCCCCCAGTACAGGGGAAAATGGGCTTATTCCCCCAGTACAGGGGAAAATGGGCTTATTCCCCCAGTACAGGGGAAAATGGGCTTATTCCCCCAGTACAGGGGAAAATGGGCTTATTCCCCCAGTACAGGGGAAAATGGGCTTATTCCCCCAGTACAGGGGAAAATGGGCTTATTCCCCCAGTACAGGGGAAAATGGGCTTATTCCCCCAGTACAGGGGAAAATGGCTCATTCAAGTCCGAGGGTTTGACCAGAGCCTCCTCAGTGCAAACTCGCCTCCACACGGGAGGTGGGAGCGGGCGAGCCGAGCCGCGAGAGGAACCCCAAGATGTGTCACGTGGACATCACGCCTTTGTAATTAATAAACAGACAAAAGATTTTGGCCGTTCCTACGAGTACTGTGCAAACCGCTTAAGCCGCAGCCCCGTGAGGAGCTGACTGTGATTTACGTGTGAACATTAGTCCTTTACTTGTGAGGTGTTTCCGTGAGATGCCCATTGGCCACTTCATCTCTTTTTGACTTTTCTTGTGCAAACTTCCGCTGCGCGAACCTGTCTGTTCTACTCCCACATTCACGTTAGGTCAGCCTTCCCTTTTATTGCCTGGACTCTGAAGGACAGGCAGAAAGCCGCCCCCGTACCGGGTGTAACGGAACCCGGCCCTCCGCTCTTCCAGGCTGTGAAACCTCTGTGAACTCAACGTCTACGTTAGGTTTCTGACAGGCTGTCATCCGCAAAAGCCAGAAAGGACGGCCGAAAGGATGCGCCTCCTGGTGAGGCTCGAGTCCAACAGGGCCCTAAACTTCCAGTGTTTCTTTAAAACACTTGAGGCTTAGGCTGAAGTTTATATGAAAGAAAACGCACAGAAGGCGGTTCAGAGAGAGGAACGAGGGGCCGACACCGTGAAGTCGCTGCAGTGAGCAGCACGCAGTCAGCAGGGACAGAAACGCTCCGCGGCCCTGCCGCAGAGGTGCTGCTGGGAGACGGGCAAAAAGGTGAACGGCCAACTTTCAAACAGGCCGCTCATGACCCAAACCCCGCAGACGCCCACCCGCAGCGGCAGCCCAGTCGGAGGGGCTGCAGGGGAAGGCGCGAGGTGCTGCTTCAGCTCATCAGCAAATCCTGGGCCCGGGGCAGTCGGCACTGGGGGCGGCCGTGCGACTGAACGTCAAGCACCCCCCTCGCCTGCGTGCCTGTGACACTGGACAGGCGCTGGAGCAAAGCAGGCCTCGCCGACGGAGAGAAGCAAACAGGAGCAGCCCCGTGGAATTTAAATTGAAAAAATCGGTGTTGTTTTTAATGAGGTTACTCGGCAGGACTTGGCTCCTGTGTGGTCTCAGGGTTGGGACACGAGTCAACACGCTGCCTCGCTAGCTCCTACGGTGCAGTGGGCGAGTCACCCCCTGACCTGAACCTCTAATGGGCAGCCAGTGTGGCCACTGGTACAGTGAGTGGAGCTCACAGGCACCCAGGCCCGGGGGACGGCTGGCGTGGGTGCCCGGGCACTCGCCCTGCAGGAGTCTGCGCTGTGAGCGCCCTCAGCTCAGCGCTGCCAACCTGGGAAAGGAGGGCTCAGCCCGCGTCCTGGCCAGACCGACGCCCCATGGACCACCCCTCCCAGCGACGGACAGAAAAGACCATTTACAACATTGCACGTCCTGAGCCAACAGGCAGCTGGCTGACGGGTGTGCCCCAGGTTTTCCTTTATGTTCATTTATTTGTAATCCTCACCCGAGCATATGCTTATTGATTTGGGGGGAGGCAGAGACGTTGACTGGTTGCCTCCCATACGTGCCCCGAACAGGGATCTAACCCCAAATCTAGGTCTGTGCCCTGACTGGGGGTCAAGCCCGGCCAGGGCTCTAGTTTTACTTTTCAAGTGATGCTTGAGGGCTGCGCCTTGGTGGGAGGCGCAAAGAAGGCCTTTTCTTTTCCAGTCTGCTGGCCTTTAAGATGCCTTCTAGCCCGGCCGCCGTGGCTCAGCGGCTGAGCATCGACCTAGGATTCAGAAGACTGTGGTTCGATTCTGGGTCGGGCACGTGCCCTGGTTGCGGGCTCCATGCCCAGCAGGGGGCGAGCAGGAGGCAGCTGATCAATGACTCAACATTGCTGTTTCTCTCTCTCCCTCTCCCTTCCTCTCTGAAATCAATAAAGACATATATATATGTGTGTGTGTATTTTTAAAAAGATGCTTTCTAACCTCGTTCACATCCAGTAAGGGGAGTCGCGTAGGAGGAAACTTGCAGGAGAGCCCAGCAGACAGGCTAGGAAACTTCAAAGATAACCGTCTGGGACCCACAAATAGAAAGGCAGGCTCAGAAACCCACCTTCTGCCCACACTCTTTCCATAACTTCCCGAGGCTAATGCTAAAGAGCTGCCCTAGCAGCTAGCAGTTAATTTAAAAGAAAATCAACACTAATGATATTTTTCTTTTTAAAGAAAGCCTCAGCACGAGAAGTTGGGACTGCAGACCCCCTGAATCGGTCTCAGGCCTCACTCACTCCTCTCCTGGCAGAGGCCAAGTTCTGACAGCTCAAAAGAAGACGAATTCATCTTCCTGTCTGAAATTGCACCTTAAAACTCCAGTCATTTTTTCCTTTCTTCTTTTTTTAAGTTTTTTCTTTCTTTTTTTAATATATCTTTATTGATCTCAGAGAGGAAAGGAGAGGGAGAGACAGAGAAACATCAATGATGAGAGAGTCATTGGTCAGCTGCAGCCAGCAACCCGGGCCTGTGCCCTGACCAGGAACCGAACCCCGATCTCCTGGATCCTAGGTCGACGCGAAACTGCTGGGCCACGCCCGGCCAGGCTTAAGCTTGTTTTTTAAATTTAAGTACAGATGGCGCACAATCCTATATCGGTTATAGTTTCAGGTGTACAATACAGCGATTCCACATTTCTATGCCTCGCCCTGTGATCACCCCACTAATGCCAGCGACTGCCTGTCACCGTGCAAACTATCACAGTGCTAGTGACCCTCCCCCCCTTTCCTCCAGAGCAGACAGAGTGGCCAATGGACACACGACAAGATGCTCAACATCACTCATCACCAGGGAAACGCAAACGGAAGCCACGGTGAGATACCACCGCACACCAGTGAGAATGGCTGTCACTGAAAAGACGAGAGGTACGTGTTGGCAGGAATGTGGAGAAGGGGGACCCTGGTCTGCAGTCACCTTCTGGGGTGGTAGCCTAGGAGAGGAAGGAATCAGGGTGTCCGAGGGGCAGCCCAGAGCAGCCCTGCCTCCCGGCCCCTCTCCCTCCCCTCAGTCTCCGTCCCTGGTGGTGGGCTCGAGGCTCTGCGACAGCTTCCCTACCTGTGCAGCGGGGTGTGGACAAAGGTGACTAAACCACGAGGCCTCCTACATGGCCTAGCTCCCAGACAGCACCCGTCAGCACATGCGTGTCCCTCCCAGGCCTCCGGTCAGCCGCGGGAAACAGTGATCAGATAGTGCCCTCGAGGAGCGTGCGCCAGGCCCCTGCCCTCAGCCACCTCTTCCTGAGAACATCGACCCGGGAGACGGTCAAACCACGTGCTTCTCATAAGCTACAAGGAAATCATGCCCAGGAGAAACTTTCTCTCTTGTTTTTGGCAACACTGCTGAGAATATTACACGATGTTCCCACAATAGCGTAAACTGTGTGTCTTATCACTTGAACGGAACCCAGACAATACAAGGGTTCCCGAGCCTGGAAATCTGTCTTATGAGAAAACCCAACCTCTCGTGATAACAGGCTCAGCGGAGGGAAGAGTGAGCAGAGAGGACCCAGCCCCGAAGTCCCAGAGCCGCCCTGGGGAGGTCGGGGCAGAGGTCCGAGGCGCACACCCTCCTGAGGCAGCCACGTCCCCGCGGCCCAGGGCCCTGCTTTAGATCTGGGGCGTGGGGATGAAACTCCAGAGGGGGTCCCAGGGCGTCCCGGGGGGAGGAGTCACTGGGCCGCGCTTCAAGCACAACGCGTATTAGCGGTACCAGGTACAGGTAACACCCCACTTCCTGGCCCGGGAATTTAATGTCTGTTTTCCTGTTTATTTTCATACACATCCACGTGCCCAGAAGTGTCTCTCTCTTAAACACCCCCCTTTCTCCTCTGGTTGAATGATTCATCCAGAGTCTTGGCCTCAGCGTCCTGCAGTTTCAGGGAAAACGGGCCCTGGGGACGGCACGGGGAACCTAATCAGACAGCCTGGCTGCAGGGCAGCTCGCATCTGAGACTCTCCAGGGACAGAGCGCGCAGGGCACGGCGCGTCTCACACGGGCCCTATTTGGAGGTTGCTCTGTGCCAGCAACGAGGGGCGGGGGCAGGGCGAGAGGCTGGGGTGCAACATGGTCACCCCACGCTGCGTCTCCCCCAAAGAAACCACTGAAGGCTGAGAAGACATTTTTATAATTAGCATGATCATTTAACAGTTGTGTTTTTTTTTAATATTCATAAACGGTGGGTCTCTCTTTTTTAAGACGCAGATGGGGAAGGGATGAAGTGGCCTCTCTGAGGGACTACAGTGCTCGGGGTTGGGGGCCTGTCTCTTTCTGGTGTATCCACATTTCCTCTGCAAAAATAAGTCTCCTGCTTGCCCACCCCTTGCAACTTTATTATGTTTGCAAAAACTAGGACCGTGTAAGCTACAGCAATAAATATGAAGGCACTAAAGCCCCTGGAATCTTTATTTTGGAAGATAAATTACAAATCAGAATAACTTTACCTTTCCAAACTATGCTTAAGTCTAGGGATCTACCTCACCCAGCAGCTGATGCTCCAGTTAGAACAAATTTAATTTACAAATTCTGAGTGTTGCTGTTCATAATCGGTCACAAAATAACCCATTTTCTTTAAATCGGTTCTTATGTTGTGAAATTAAAATTTAGTCCTAATTTTAATTTCACAACATATTAAGAAAAAATACTTTCCAGAATGTTAATAACGGAAACTAATGGAGAAGGAGGAAGGTGTTCAGGAGACAGAATTCTGCTTCGTCCAAGAGTCGGGAGGACTGTTCTGCGTGTGAGTGGACGCCATCACCAAGACCCCAGACAACCGCCCACTGGGGAAACGCACTGTTCTGCGCTCTCCTGGGCCTGTCCTCTGTCATCAGTGAGTAAATGGGGCAGAGGCCGCTACCCCGTTTCACAGACGGAATGAATGAGGCCCAGAGAGAATAGGCGAGTCGCCCCTGGTGGCAGAGCCTGGGTGGGGAGGAAAGGCCACCCTCTGGACCGTGCATTCCTGTGAGCAGAGACAAAATGAAACCTCTATTCTCACACAGCTGGGGCTACTGAATGTAAATTCAGAAAGAGGAGAGCGTAAACTAATAAATATTTGAAAAATACACGCCCAACCCCCACACGACCAGGCTGGGGGGCCCGGTGCCGACGGGCAGTGGCCAGCAAGTCGGGGCTCATCTCATGGGTGAGAGTTTCTCCACTCTGAGAGCCAAGGACTCCCAGGCACAACGCCCAGATGCAGCCAAAGGCCAATCAGGAACAGGACAGAAGTTACGGGAGGGGGAAGAGGCAGACGCTCTGACGCTCAGAGAACCCCAGGGGCCTGCACAGGTGGAACCCTGGGCTCCACTAGGTAAGTCACCTCCTCAAGCCACCAGCAGGAGAGCCGATCACAGGACAGCCAGAGTGACACTGTGTGTACAGGATCACAGAGCGACCTGAGGGGCTGGAAGTGCCCGGCCTGGAAATAATGGGAGCAGACCCGGGTCCCGGCCTCCCCACAGCACATGGTGCCCAAACCCCGGACGCCAGTTGTTGGTCACTCAGGTGCACAGTCCCAACAGCCGAATGAGACCACGACTCTGGTGCCCAGTCGGTGTCATTTTGATTCGTGAACTTTTCTCAAAATCAAAACAAGAGCCTGTGTTTCAGAACAGAGGATGTTTTGAAGGCTGTGTTCTTGGCATTTGGGAGGAAGACGTGAAGTTTATTCCCCAGAGTAAAGTCCAGGATCATTCATCCCACTACAAGCCCCTCAGTAACAGCAGGGACACTACCCGCCATGGTATCCCGCCTGGGAGTCCTGGCGGCCCCTATGGGTGGCCCAGAGCACAGGGGACAGACCCAGCCTACTGTCCACATCTGCGTCCCAGAAGTCAGGGCACATCTCCCACCACCTCTGACCCCCCAGGAACTAGTGGCACACAGGGCACAACCGACCCCAGGCCTGGACGTCACATTCACGCTACAAAAACCACAGCTTCTTCTGTGCTAATGGATACCACTTGGAGCATGTGAACAAAGGAGGTACCCGGACAGGTGCCCATGAGAAAGGAGTGGTGGAGCCCTTGGGAGCCCGGCCGTCCTCAAGTCCACAGTCAGAGCATCTCCCCGACTGCCNCCGACCTCCCAGTGTCCTCCCTCCCCCTCCGAGGGACCCTGGCTGTCTCCGAGCCTGCAGTCAGAGCACCTCCCCGACCTCCCAGTGTCCCCCCTCCCCCTCCGAGGGACCCTGGCTGTCTCCGAGCCTGCAGTCAGAGCACCTCCCCGACCTCCCAGTGTCCCCCCTCCCCCTCCGAGGGACCCTGGCTGTCCCCGAGCCTGCAGTCAGAGCACCTCCCCGACCTCCCAGTGTCCCCCCTCCCCCTCCGAGGGACCCTGGATGTCTCTGAGCCTGCAGTCAGAGCACCTCCCCGACCTCCCACTGTCCCCCCTCCCCCTCTGAGGGACCCTGGATGTCTCCGAGCCTGCAGTCAGAGCACCTCCCCGACCTCCCAGTGTCCCCCCTCCCCCTCCGAGGGACCCTGGCTGTCCCCGAGCCTGCAGTCAGAGCACCTCCCCGACCTCCCAGTGTCCCCCCTCCCCCTCCGAGGGACCCTGGATGTCTCTGAGCCTGCAGTCAGAGCACCTCCCCGACCTCCCACTGTCCCCCCTCCCCCTCTGAGGGACCCTGGATGTCTCCGAGCCTGCAGTCAGAGCACCTCCCCGACCTCCCAGTGTCCTCCCTCCCCCTCCGAGGGACCCTGGCTGTCCCCGAGCCTGCATTCAGAGCACCTCCCCGACCTCCCTGTGTCCCCCTGGGGCCCCAGCTGTCCCCAAGCAGGCTCCTACCTAGGATCCACTTCTCCGACAAGTACATGACGCTCTCCTTCCTCCTTCCGTGGCAGGGCCCGATGAAGACGCTGGCCTGTCGAGGGACACCCGTGACCCGGCCCCCACACAGGAGGACCAGCTCCCATAGCTTGGCCCTGGGGGGGTCGCTGGCGGGCGAGATGAACATCGTGGGCTGACCGGTGAACAGGGTGCCCTGGTACTGCCCGGCGGACAGGTGGCGCTCCCGGCGGCAGAGCTGCAGGCAGAGATGGGGGGGTTAGGCGGGAGCCAGGGCAGGGTCTGGAACAGGTGCACTGTGCGGCTCACGGCCTTTCTCGGGAAAGGGCAGAGTGAACGGCACGGGGCACGTCCTCGGGTGAATCCTGAATTCTGAGGACCGGAGCAGAAGATGACAGGAACACTGACATTATCTGAGGCAGCCTGAGAGCAAAACTCCAGATGAACGATTTACAGGCAAAAAAAGGCTTAGGGCTTTGAATTATTCCACACTCTAAACCAAAGCACTCGAAAGTAGCCAGCTGTGCAGCACAGTGAAGTGAGCCACACCTGGCTCTGTGAGCCCCGTGGCCAGGGCAGCAGGTCTCCTTAAAGCCACCCCCAGCCCCGCACCTGAGCAGCAGCCTCGGGCCTGGTGCTCTGGGTTCACACGAGGGTACAGAGCGGAACCTCAGCGGTTCCCCGAGCACCGCGGGCTGGGAGCGGCATGGGCACCAGGGAAATGGGGAGAAGCCGAACCGGGCTGGGGACACTTCAGGATCCGGATGCTGGGCCGCGCTCCTTTCTGTTGATGAGGTTGTGGTCGTCTGGCTGCCCAGGGGGCGGTGGGGAGGCCCAGTTATTCTAAACACACTTCACTCAGGAAAGACTAACGGAGACGTCATTTTAAGTGCAAACTCCCTCCAGGAGGCGCTGAGGGTGCCCTGCTGTCCACAGGGTGAGTGTTATAATCGGCTTATTGCCCTGAGGACAGAATTGAACATCTGATACATTCGTTGTTTTGATGGGAGGTTTGTGGGGAAAAAGATCAAGGGGTGCTTCTCAAGGAGTGTGACCAGGGCGGGGGACAGAGGGTGGGAGGGGGAACCCAGTGCTCCACCTACATGTGACAGAACTGGAGAAAGAACGAACTGCTCTCCCACCAGGTGTGCAAATTGCTCCTGCTTTTTAAGAAAAGAGGGTGTTACTGTAAAAAAAAAAAGCCCAATGTTAAGCAACCTAAGTGTCCACTGATGGGTGAATGGACAGGGGTGGTACCTATGTGTGATGGAATATTACTCAGCCATAAAAAAGGGCGAACTCTTGCCCTTTGCACAACATGGATGGACCTAGAGTGTGTTATGCTAAGTAAAACCAGACAGAGAAAGACAAATATCATGATTTTACTTAAATGTGGAATCTAAAGAACAAAATAAACAAAGAAATAAAATAAAAACAAACTCAGATACAGAGAACAAACTGATGGTTGCCAGATGGGAGGGGGTTGGAGGGATGGGTGAAAAGGGTGAAGGAGTTAAGAGGCCCAAACAGCCAGTTATAAAAGCAGTCCCAGGGATGTAAAGTACAGCACAGGAAACAGTCAATAACACTGTAATAACTATAGATGGTGCCAGGTGGGCACTAATTGAGGTGACCACTTTGAAACTTAAACGAATGTCTAATCACCATGCTGTACACCTGAAATCAGTATGTCAACTGTAATTGAAAAACGAAAAATTTTAAAAGGTGATTGTGTGTTTTTCTAAATTCTGTATCACACGCATGCATATTTAGGATACAGGGGTTTTTTTTGTTTTTTTTTTAAATGGGATCCGGGGTTATCTTGGTAAATGGGAAAGCGGTAAACCCACTTTTAATCCAGTAGAAAAGGGCACATGTAACATGCCAGTAACAAGCAGCTGCGTGACCTATTACGAGGACATGTGCAGGCCTTCCAGGTGCTCAGAATGGGACTTTAGTGGCCGATTTCTGTGAATCCTCAGTCCTCTCCCTCCCATTTAGTCAACACTCACCCTCCACCAGGCCCTCGAGCACAGTGCAGGGGATGCAAATGTGAATAATCCGTGGCCTCTGACCTGAGACTAAACACATCCTATAAAAGTCAGCCCATGAAAATGCCTCCCTTCACTTATTTACTCAGCTTGAAGTCAGAGGGGTCAAAGAATTACAAAGACCCAAATAACTGAGTGGATGGGCATGCGGGTTCCCAATCCTAAGTAAAGTAGCTGCCAGGAAAGCCTAACCGAGATGTAGTTACTTAAAATTAAAGCTTAACGTGGGAAGTTAATCCATAAAGCGCTCCCTGATGTGTATACGGAGCTCACTGCCACAGAAAGGAAGATACAGGCCAGTCTAGTCTCATCCACACTGTAGGTGTGACAGGACACAGGATTCTGCTTGTCACCGAGCTGCAGTGACACTCATTTGGGAAGCAGCACGTCCTAGGAGGCAACACTTCCCCACTGCTCCCGAGGACACACAGCCCCGCTGTCATCTCAGTCCCCCGGGGGATTCCCTATTCCAGGTCCTCGTGACTGAGGAAACGGCTCTGGGAACCCCTGTCCCCGTGTGGCCTCTCCCGTGGAGGCCACCTGTGCACGGACCACGACCTGGCGTGGCTACTGTGGGACGTCAGTTGCCTCAGGAACCCACCCCCGGCAGTCAGCTCTTCCCTGTGCAAAGGCCAGTTCTGTCCCCACGGGGACATTCTACACACAATTCAGGACGGTAAGGCCGCAAGCAGCACAGAAGTCACTTTTTCCAGCTTCATTGAGAGATAACTGCTGTATAATCGGCACTGACTTGAACACCACAATGTGTCAGCACGTTGGCAATAAATGTTGAGAAATTTCACAGATCTTCCCCAGGAATGGGAGCGAGGGAAGGCGAGGAGGGCGGACAGGACCTGAGGGCCACTGCATCCAGGGCTCGTTCCAGGCAGACAGGGGACCCGTGACCCGTGCCTGGTGCTGGCACCTGGCCCAGCGTGGGGGCCTCTCTCCACAAGGACACTCCCAGTAAGCACAGATCCCTGACGCTGTCCAGAGGAGGGCGGGGAAGGCTGCCCAGTGTGCGGGGTCTGCGGGGATGGTTTCTAACTTCTCCTTTCATGAGAAAATGAAGCAAAGCACCAGGTAGACACGTTCCCGACCCGAAGCCACCAAACGGGCCCCTCGCCTGCCCTCCACAGTCAACTGCAGTGTAAGCTGAGGCAGGATGCATTTCCCCCGCACTTCTTAAAAAAGTCTTTATTGCTGGAAGTACCCCCGTTTTCCCCGTACTTTTGCCGAGGGCTGTGAGGACGCCCGAGTTAGAACTTGGAGTGGGCCCAGCTTGGATTTTTTTAAAGTGCTATTGGAGTTTTAAAGGCTGCATAAGTGATGGGAACACAGTCGCCTTGGGAATCCACAAATAGCCTTTAAAAGGCTGTAAATCTGGGTTCCATGCCTCGCAGCTTTCAACGCGGTAAGTAGGTCAGAGCCCTGTCGGGGTTCCTGCTCCGCAGCATCCAGCTGGCGGGGCTCCCTGGCTCCTTCGCTAACAACACGCCAGCAATCCAGCCACACTCGCCTCCCGGCTGCTTTTCGCGCTCAGTTTTCAAAAATCATAACAAAACACACACATGGAAATCGCTTCTGGGTTTTATAGGACTTTTTATTTCACCCTTTAAAAACCCTCTGGTAGGTGGCAAGAAATGTGTAAACCTATGAAAGTTAAAGTTGGGGTCCGCGCAGGCCTGCGGTCGGCAGAGCTGACTGAGTCAGGGCTGGAGGCCAGGCACTGGGCAATGGCATTTCCAAAGCTCCCGGTGACCCAGGGGCCACCAGGTGAGGAAGGGTCCTAAAGAGGATGGGCACAGATAGCAGCCACCCGGCGGCTTTATAACACTAATGCTGGCCAGTCCCAGCCATTCTGATGAGGCAGGGATGTGGCCTGGGGATGTGGCCCAGGCAGAAGTTAAAAAAAAAAAAAATCTCCCAGGTGATTCTAATGAGCCAGAGCCACTGAATTAGAATCAAAGGGGCTCCCAAGAGCTAGCATTTTGCCCCGAAAGCCCTGTCTGCAGCGCTGAGGGCCAGGAGCATAGGGGAAAGGCACCTGTGAGAAGTACTTAAGGGTGGGCACCTCCTGCCTTGCATCGACCCACCCACCAAAGGAGAATAGGACATAGTCCCTTAGAGGATGAGAGGAAAAAACCCACCCAAGTGTGAGAGTCCAGCCGATGCCATTTCAGCTCCGAAACAGAGCGGCCGCCCACTAGGAGACAGACGTCTAGGTTAGAGCCCTGGTCTCCAGTCGCTCGGTCTCCTCTCCAGTTTGTCTGGAGGCTGCCAGCCTGTCCTGTCTCCATCTGCAGGCCCTGTGCCTCCTCCTGACCCCTTGTCCCACCCTGGCACAGAGGCCTACCCCCCAGTCCTGCTGGGGCCCCAGCTCATCTCGCTCTGGGCAGTCCTGGCCAGGCTCCCTCCTGGGGGCTGACCTTCCTCATGCCAAGTCCTGCATGGCCGGCTTCCCAGGCCCACCAGCTTCTCGCAGGTGCTCTAGTGGTTCCACTGCCGAGAGCCCCCGACAGGCCCCGCCTCACACCAGGGCCTTGCTTGTTGTTTGGCCTCCACGTTTCTCAGGAGCATCTTCCTCCCTCTGATCTAACTCCATTCGCCAGCTCCATGTGCAGGGGGAGAGGAAGAGCATGTCCTCTGTCCCCTCCCGTCAGCTGACGACTGTGGTTGTTTGACTGGGGCACCGTCGAGACACCTCCCATAGGCCAGGTTTTTTTGTTGAAGTTTTTATTCAGAGCCGTATTTTGGGTCGAGATTTGCAGAATGATCTACTGTGAATTTTGTTTTTAGGTCACTCTGAGGACACTTCACCTGCTACTGTGACCGTTGCGGCGTGAGTTAGGATGAATTTCATTTGCTTTCTCCAAAGTTGTCTTCCCCCTTCTTTGAGGGTTAGTAGGCGGTTTAGATATTCTGTTCTGTACACAGGTATACGAGACAACTATATCATTTCAAGGTTCCAAGAACCCGTTTTCCTTATAGTTAAATCAGGCACATTCTTCCAAAGATGAGGGACAGCTCCTAGGAATCCTGTGAATCCAGGCTCAGTAACCTGGGGCTGCCCCCAGGAGCCACCGAACTTACTAACTGTTGGAAAAGTTGCTTATACAGTGGTACCTCGGTTTTTGAACATTTCTGTTGACGAACATTTCAGTTTACAAACACCGTAAACCGGGAA